AGGAACAAAGATATTGTGCGTGAATTAGAACGTATTTTTTTTCCTCATCAGTGTGATCACTTGTACATATCAACAGACTTGAAAGCGGTAAAACATACAAAATGTAGCTCTATAATCATTCCAAAATTAAGTTCAGATATAATTTAGAAAGTTAAAGTGGGTAATCCATAGAGAGTATTCTTATAATGTTAAAAAAATACAATAGGTATATCTTCACCTCTGCCCATTTTTTCATTACTGATGCCCTTATTAAGCATTTATTTTGTTCAAGTAGATATTGTACAATGACTGTAGCAGCCCTGTACACTCTTCAAAAAGAACAGCTAACTCTGATGAGCACTTAAACATCTGTAGCCAGATTCTGATCCTTACTACAAGGGTAAAGATGGATGCCCATAAGCCTTTTTTTTAATTCCTGATGATGCAACCTTATTGTAGAGTGCTTTAGAAGACTTTTTTTAATTTTAGGAGTCATTTTATAAATAGTGTCCTGCAACCGGATTTGCCATGGTAATTTCTACCCAATCTTTAAACTAGCTAAGAAAAGGGCTTTAATTCCAGTTACAGTTGCACAGACTAACATCTAATTCATAAAAAAAGCTATTAGCTGATTTATGATTGGGCTTAAATACAATTCCCAGACTCAGAGACAGATAAGGTATTCTCAATGCTATTAGCAGAAAGATAAATTTCTGTCAAAGCCTGCACCTGTTTGAACAACACAAGGCAATATGAAATATAGTAACTTTGTGTGGCATATCATGGAAGAAACCTAGAAAGTTAACTGCTGTAAAATACAATGGCATTTTTCTGACAGTAAAACTCAAATGCCTGGAAAGGTTTAGCTTAAAGTTTAACATCTGCTATGTATGCACCTGACAATGCTTTGAAGTCTGGTTACTGAGTGTTAAGAAATTTTCTGAAAGTTCAATGAATCCAACTGGAGAAATGATTGCATGTAAAAATATTTTTTTTTTTGAAAATTTTATTTGGGTTTTCACAAAAACAAAATACAAATAAAACATCTTTTTTTGAAAATAGCATGGTCCCAGGTTATCACTTCTTCATACAGATACAAAACTCAATTTCATGTTCATTTTTATATTCTATTCCATATCTTATTCCCGTTTGATATTTTCTACATAGTTTTTCCCCTCTTTTAATTTTCTCAACTTTATTTTAATTATCTCATCTCAATTCAAATCATTATATTTATACTTTTGTCTGTCCTGTTTCAATTTCATATTATCTTTTCTTATTAAACAAATTTTTCCCTGTAGTTACCAATTGGAGTATGACACCTTTATATCCTTTAATTTTATCCATTCAAGCT